CTCCATCCCTGTATTCCCACTGGAAAACAGGCTGCTCTGGGAGCTGGGAATCACCAGTTGTCATGGATTAAACAGGGTTTGGGCATTTGGGAATCATGGAATGGTTTGGGCTGGAAGGGACCTTAAAGATGATCCAATTCCAACCCCTCCACACAACAGGGGCACCTGCCACTGTCCCAGGTTGCTCCAACCCGGCCTTGGACACTCCCAGGGATCCAGGGGCAGCCACAGCTTCTCTGGGAAATCAATTCCAGCCCCTCTCCACCCTCCCAGCCAGGAATTCCTTCCCAAAAATCCCATCTAACCCTGCCTTCCTCCAGCTGAAGGCCCTTCCCCCTTGTCCTGTCGCTCCATACCCTTGTCCAAAGCCTCTTTCCATCCTTTTTGTGAGAGCCTGGAGAAGCAAAAGCTGCCTAAATCCGGGATAATCACTGTGGAGCTGGATAAAAAAATGGGCTTTCAAGTCATCTGGGAGTTCTGGACCCCCCAAAATCCCATCCTTCCACCACTTCCCTGACCCACGGACCAGGATCCTCTTTGCTCCCACAACGTTCTCCCTGGAAGCGCCGTGTGGGCACAGGAGCTGATCCAGCTGGATCCAGGCTGCATCCTGGGAATGTTGGGGGTGTTTAGGACGGGCTGTCCGCCCTCTCCATGTCCCCTAAAAAACATGGAATCAAGTTTTCCCTGTGTGTTTTCCAGCTGAAAGCTTTCGCCCGAGCCAAGGAAGCCGCTGGGTACAGCCGGGAGGAGCTGCAGGAGACCTTCGCCTTCCTCCTCTTTGACAAGGAAGAAGAGGTAACCTGGGAATGTTTGCCCGGCTGGAATTTGATCCTGAGTGGCCCCTCTGTCCCAGCAGAGCCGGAGGCTGAGGAATCCTGGCTCTCCACGCCCTGGGATTCCCGCCGGGAATAGTCCGGGAGGAGGTTTTAGGGACGGATCTTGTTTTCCGTCTCTCCGGTCGGTTCTCTTTGGGATTTGGCCGCTCCCTTTTCCCTCTGCAGGGAGACAGGAGGAGTTTCCCTTTGTCCCAGTGGATTTCTCCCAGAACCACGGGATGCTTTGGGTTGGGAAGGGACCTTAAAGCCCATCTTGTTCCACCCCCGACACCTCCCACTATCCCAGGTTACTCCAACCCGGCCTTGGACACTTCCAGGGATCCAGGGGCAGCCACAGCTTCTCTGGGAAATTCATTCCAGTCCCTCCCCACACTCCCAGCCAGGAATTCCTTCCCAATATCCCATCTATCCCTGCCCTCTGGCACTGGGAAGCCATTCCCTGTGTCCTGTCCCTCCATCCCTTGTCCCCAGTCCCTCTCCAGCTCTCCTGGAACCCCTTCAGGCCCTGCAAGGGGCTCTCAGCTCTCCCTGGAATTCAGTTTTTTGCTTTAATCCCTGGGAGCAGCATCCCCCAGGAATTGTCTGGAGCCATCCCTGCCTCCAAGTCCATGGAATGACAGGATCCCAGAGTGCTTTGGGTTGGAAGGGACCTTAAATCCCATCCATTCCCACCCCCTGCCATGGGCAGGGACACCTCCCACTATCCCAACTATCGGGTGGTTCCAACCCGGCCTTGGACACTTCCAGGGATCCAGGGGCAGCCACAGCTTCTCTGGGAAATCCATTCCAGCCCCTCCCCACCCTCCCAGCCAAGAATTCCTTCCCAATATCCCACCTAACCCTACCCTGTGCCAAGAACAGGGAATGAAACCTGTCGGGCACACCTGGAAAAGCCCCTCTGGGACAGGAGATGGGAATTTTTCAAGTGCTTTGGGGGCAGATTCCCTGGATTCTGAGTGGAGAGAGAACCTCCCACAAATTATCCCTGCCCCGTGTTTTTCACCAGGATGCCTTGGATTTTGTGAAAGGAGTTTTTCAGGGATGCCCAGGGAATCCAGCAGGAATTCCTTTAACACTATTTAATGCTGCCGAGGGTGGCTTTGGGCAGTTTAATTCTCTTTTCTCCCCGTCGCTTCTTCCCGTTTTTTGTCTCGTTTCCTTTATCCTTTGCAAGTGTTTTTTCCAGCTGCTTTTGTTCTCTATATTCCTGATTTTTTTTTTGGGAAAATCGGTGTTAAAAGGGGCTGTTTTGTGCTCTTCCCAAGGCGAGGGAGGTGTGTCGGACGGGCCTCCGGGTCAACAGCAGCTCCATCTCCACGCTCGGAGACCCGGCCAAAGGTGAGAATTCCATGGGGAGAATCCAGGGAATATTCCCTGCTCCGGGAATAGACGACTCCTCGGAAAAACAGAGGCAGAAGCTCTGCCCAGATCCGTGGAAAATCCCGTTTCTTGCACAAGGAGCTGAATTTGCTGGAGGGAGCAGCAGTTTTCCCTCTGCCCCCTCAAGCCAGGGGGGGATCTTCCCTAGGGAATGTTGCCATTCCAGGCTTTTCTTTCCCTGGAAATAAAAGTCACCCAAGTGGCTGATTTCTCTGGGAAAAGACCTTTATCCTGGTGGGAATATCATCCTGGGACAAATATATATATATATATATATAAATCAATATTATATATTATAAATATTATGTATATTATATTTTTATATATATTATATACTTTATATACATAATATATATTTATATATATTATATATTATATATTTTGTATGTATTATATATCTTTATATGTAATGTGTATTATAGATGTTATATATTTTATATACACTATATATTATATATTTTATATATATTCTATATTATATATTTTGTATGTATTATGTATTTTGTATGTATTATATATCTTTGTATGTAATATGTATTATATATATTTTATATTTTATATATTGTATATTTTATATACATTATATATAATGTATTTTATATATAATGTATTTTATATATATTATATATTATATAGTTTATATACATTATATATTATATA